AGGGTGAGAGAAGATGGTAGGGTTGGTAGAAAGATAAGCAGAAATGTTGAGAGAGCGAGTGAGCAAAAAATGGCAGAGTTCTTTTGCATAAAGTAGGGTGTTGATGCGCTAGGATAGTGTCAAATTATCATTAAGATAGACGAATACTCAAAGAGAAACGTAAATACAATCAACAATCAGATAAGCATACCTTTCATCGAGAGAAGTCAAAAAGTTAGCGATTTTGGTATACGCTGACTGCATGTCGGAAGCTTGCCTACAAATCCCGTTACTTACGTCAGCACACATAGCAACAATAAACAAGCTGAACTTCTCCTAAACAGATGGATCAAAAGTAAGAGGAACTACTGGGTTATTTTAAAAAAAAGCGAATAAAACTCGTACATGATATAGGTAGACGATTAAAACCTACCCAATGACCCAACTCAAGTTGACCCATGATGACATGAGCGGTTCTTATGCACAGATCCCGTATCTTAATAGAAGCTAAATGTCAAAGAGGTTAACTTCAATAGACTAGCTCACTGCTCCTGACCTGCTGCAGTCTGAAAAGTCGCTTCAGGTAAGCACTTCCAAAATATTGTATCACATCATTAGTGGGTAGATAAAATCCAGCTCCAGAGGCTGTAGCTTTCTCAAAAAAGATAGAAAACTAGAGAATTTGAATGAAAATCACGATGGACCGCTTTGCAAACAGCTGTGTTAGGTAGGAAATGGAATGCAATGTAAGTTAAAAACTTTGAAAACTTACTTTGTGAACATCGGCAATTCTTTTTAACAAATCATCTTCGTTATATTTCCGCAACGATCGCGAAAGATTCTTGAAATTCACCCAATATCCTTGGCGACGATGTGGTCCATTGAATTTGTAGACTAGGGATTGCGCAAGAGCTTGCGTAGAGGGCACCAGAGGCTTTTTTAGCTGATCTATCTGTACGGCTTACGTTAAAACAATAAAGCTCCACCTCTTCGATATGCTTACTATGTTTTCAAAGGCAAAAGCTATCCGCCTAACGGGTGTTGAGTCCTTTTCTGGTTTATTGTTGAACAATCGAGTGGGATATGTGGCGCTAGACTCATCCAGAAATTCTTAAAATAGCACAGTGCATGCACATCACTGTTGAGGTAAAAAGAAACAAACGAAACAAAACTTACGTAAAAAGTCGGCAAATTCCTCCCTCCATGACATTTTAGGCAGTTTCCGCCTATAAAAGTTTCACTTAATATACTGTTAAAACAGACATTTGATATCATAAACCTATAGCTTCACACTAACGTAAGACAACTAGAAAAAGAAGAATCGAGACGTTGCAAATTTCAAGTTAACGTAATCATATTATTATGTGCAAACACACCATTCTTCTGAACTGGAGGCGAGGGACGGTAATCGGGCTCGCGTATGGGGGCCCTTCTCGCACGCGCGACTGCGCTGCAGCTTTCTCGGCTGGGGCATCTTGTCTCCTGGCATTC